ATAGGAGAAATCAGCAATATTTGAGCTTATAGGTCTGACTTATATTACTTAACGTTATGGTCTCACAGTGTATACACTTTCCTACAAATGACTCAGGCTTCCATCCTTAATGACACAGTAATACTCTATCGTGGATAAATACCACATTTTCTTCATCCATTCATGTGCTGATGGGCATATATGTCACTTCCAAGATTTAGCTATCATGAATTGTGGTTCTATAAATATGGGTGTGCTTGGATCACTGTGATATGGTATCTTGGCTGACTCTGGATAAAAGAGAAATATAGCCCTGTATCTCTCATAGACCTTAGTAATGAATGCTGCATACAGAGCAGGCATAATCCAGTCACTCCAAGAGTATTCCCATGTTAGACTCAAACAGCAAAGGACAGCGTCTTGGACCACACCGTGCCACCTCCATAGAAGTGGTTTTTTTGAGCTATGTTTAACCATTCAAATTTTAGCACAAATTTGGGAAAATTAATAAAATTAGATCTACAAAATTATATTGCATTTCATGTAAGGATGTTTATCATTCACTGCGTTTTACAATATTTTCTATACAAGAATCTATAGGAGAATTTTCTTTCAAGCATCAGTGCCAGGAATATTTGAGTTTCCTCTCAATGACTGGTTGGCTTTTGTCTTACAGACATTGCAATTCATTCTTTCTTTTGACCACTTATTTTGTTTTTGTTTTGCTTTTTCCTGTTAGCATTGCTGCCAGAAAACCCCAAGAAGGCTCTTTGTTCTGGCACTAGATTAAAAGAGTACCTCCAATCTCATGGAATCCACTGGTGCTATTATATAATTTCATCTTGCCCTCTACTTCAAATAATTTTTCTATTCTTATTTTCATTTAGCTTCAATGTATTCATTTACATATCTAGTCTTCTATAAGTGTTTCTTCATGTGCTGGAACAAGACAAAATATAAATGTACATTTCCCAACCTAACTGCCTTTCCTGGGCGATTCACAAATTCAGCAGAAGATTCTCTGATCTAGGAAATGAGTGTTTACTCCATTCTAGTTCTCAAATTTTTCCATCTTTTTCTCCCCTCTCCCAAGCACTGGGATTGAACTAAGGGCCTTCAGGCTGAGCTACACCACCAGCCTTTTTTTGATTTTTTTAAATTTTGAGACAAGGACTTGCTATGTTTCTAAGTTTGCTTGCTTCATATTTTGCCATCTTTTTAAGTAAAAACCAGGAAAGTAGTTATATATTTATTAATATATTATCAACCTTTAAACTGTTACTGTTATAAAATTACAGCAAGGATTATGTGTCTTAATTCCGAATATCCCTGATGACTTCATCATTGATAACCAGTGGAGTTACCATAACTCTTATTTTGGGGGTGGAGGATGAAAATTGAACCTTCCTAGAAAGATCAGCGATATAGATGAATAGGTAAATACACTACAACTTACTTGCACATGTAATTATTTTTAAAAGGTCAAAAAGCCACATATAAATAAGTGCATAATAATTTTTAAAAGATTTTCAGCATAGACATATTTGTGTGGTCTCATGTATGACTCTGAATGAGCACTTACTGAGCTTAGACGTCTACTTCAGATAGCCATAACTACATTTTCAAACCCCTCATATTTTCAAATATTTTAAATAACATATTTGGCCGCCAATGTGGGAAACATGCATAGATTATTAATTTTAAAAAGAGATTCAAAATGATGTAACAACTGCATATGAATGCCTAGTAAAGACTAACTTTAAGATATTTTACATGAATAGCTCACACACTCCTCAAAGCGATCTCATATGGTAGATAATCTATAGCCTCCTTAAATATTTATATTCACTTTATCGAGCAGACCTCACACACATCAACATTCACTTTTAAATCTATCGCAGAGCTATGCAGCCAATGCCACCATCTAACTTTAGAATATCTGTGTCACCCTCGAGAGAAACCCTGCCCTGGGCAACTGTCCCTCCCCACCCGTCTCTCCTGGTAACCCCGGAAACTATCAGTCTCCCTCTTGTCCATACAAATTTGCCTATTCTGGGCATTCCATGTAACTGGAATTGCATGATAAGGAGTCTTTTGTAATTGTTCCTTCCACTTCCTATTTTCAAGATTCATCTACAGCATATTGAAACTTTATTCCTTTTCACTGACAAATAGAAATCTCATGTTTTATCTATTTTTATCAGTTGATGGACATTTTAGGTTGTGTCCACATTTTGACTGTTGTACATAATGCTGCTAAGAATATTAGCGAGCAATTTTATGTAGATATATGTTTATTATACTCCTAGTATAGTAGTAAAACTGAAAATGCTAATATTTTTAACTTTTTGAGACACCGGGGATTGAACTCGGGTCCTTGCGCTTGCGCAGCAGGTGATGAAACTGCTGAGCTAAATCCCTGGCCCCTGTCTGCTTTAGTTTTTAATGGTTACACTACTCTGGGATGTTTTGGACTTGATTTACATTTTCCTAATGACTAATGTTGAGCATCTTTTCTTATGTGTAATGGCTTATTTGTATATATTCTCTTAAGGAGTATTTATTCAGATACGTTGCCTATTTTTAAAATTGGTTTTATTTTTTCATTGTTTAGTTATGAGCTCTGCATATATTCTGTATATGGTTGGCAAATACTTTCTGCCATTTTTACTTTTTTGATGATGTCCTTTGATACTCAAATTTTCAATTTTTATGACATTCAATTTTACTTATTCTCTTGTCATTTATGCTTTTCATGTCAAATCTAAAAAGCCATTGCCTAAACCAAAATCATAAAGATCTATGCCTATTTTTATCCAAGAAAAGTTTCATGGCTTTGGCTCTCTCATTTAGCTCTATGTTTCATTTTGAGTCAATTTCTGTATATGGTTTCTTACCTCCACTATAGAGAGGTGAAAAACCAGGCAAAGCCTGGCTAAATAGTTGTCTCAAAACCTCACAGTATTCAGGGGACTGAGACAGAATTCAAGTCTACACAATGTGGCCTCAGAGTCCATAAGCTGCCTCAATTCTCATGCTACTTCTATATTGCAATTGGATTTTTTTGTCAGATAAATGTAAACTGAAAAATTAAATGGGATTTGTTCTCTTATCAGTGGGTGGAGAATGTAATGGAAAATATCTTAGGAAAATATTGCTCCAAAAGGGGTCATCAGGTTTCTACTTTATAAAGAAATGTTGCAAAGACACACAAAACCTTTGAAAAGCAAATTCTAAATGCAATAAATCTATAGTCAGTATATTGGATATGTTTTATTGCTTTTATAATTAACCCATTGCTTTTGGCAATTTAAATTCCATGAGAAATGGCTCCAGCATTTCCTTTCTTCCATATACAAGATCTATATTCATTGACCTATTAACTCATATCCCCCTTTCACTATGTGACATTCTTCAAAAGAATCTTTAAACTAAATAAGGACAAATTTATTTATTCCAACTACTATGTACCTAGTCTAGGACCTTTGCTAAAATGACATGTGAAGTTATCTAGTCTCATGATTTTGGTCAGTAACCTGCCCTTTCACATGAAGATTCAGGTAAATTTGAAAGGTTAATAATTTTGTCAATGTTAAGTAACACTAACATAGATTAAGACATTGATCTAGCCAGTTTCTCAATATTCAATGTGATATTCTAATCACTATCTATCACTGACTCATCAATTTACCACAGCAATTGTTAATGATCAAAATCGACTAAGATTCATAAAGAAATAAATATCTGCTGTATAAATGAATTCATTATATCAGAGAGATTTCAGAACAATTTATTAAATAGATGTTTCAATTTTCCCTGTTCTGTTACCGATGGGCCCCTAAAACACCAATTAATTTTAGCTAGGTGCTACATATTTCCTAACTCCATTTGCCTACTATTTTTATATATAGTATTTAACACATAGTTTGTTGCAAAAGAAAGGCAAGTATTAGTTAAATGAAGAGCAATTTGCCTGTTTGCACTTTCTCGCTGACTCAAAGTGGATTTTGATTTGTGTCGCTTGCTTCTGTTAATGAAACTGTCTATTTGTAATAACTACAAAAGCCTATAACATTAACATAATGAATATATTCTCCTACACTCTTAACAGAGCCTTTTTTAAAAGTTAACTTGAGGTTTTGTAATAAATACCATTCACAGAAGACTGCTTTCCTTTTAAAACTTCTAATGGAAACACTTTCTACTTTCAAGAAACTCTATAATCTAAACCAATCTGTACAACTTTGCCAATATGAAGAGACTATTCAAATTCAGAAAAGGCTGAAACTTTAGGCTTAATAGTACAAACAATCGCCTGCAAACAGAAGAACCATAAATTCTAACACAATACCAGCCACATTTCATTAACTGGGTGACCCTTGGATACAGACCCCTTGAAAACTCTGCCCTGAACAATTGAACATTTGTCTAGTCCTAATTGAGAAATATACAGGTGCTTATATTACTGATTTCTCAGAAGAGGACCAAGGGCAGATTCTCTCAAAAGCTAAGGTCCTCAAAGGATCACAGTTAATCTGGGCCACAAGAGCAAGACCAAATGTAAGGTCATAACAAGTTTACTCCTCAGAGTATAATGTACTCAAAGCAGTTAAGTCATTTACCATCTTAAAATATGACTAAGAAAAATGAAACATAATGAACACAACAAAGCTTCTAGGCATGAAAAATTAACAATACATTCAATTCAACAATACATGCAGGCTGAATAAGCTCCTTTAGAGAACACAGAGATGGTATCAAGGAGAGTCCGTCCAGGCACCCAAGCTGACATTAACTAGGGGCAAACATTCTATAAAATAATGTTAAAGTACCATATTATTAAATCCCTATTTTTGCTGGGCAGCTAAAAAATATAATTTTCATGCTCTAATCCAGTCATATTATACAGAGACTTCTGCTTGGGAGAGAGGTAGGAGGTCCTGCAAATTTTATCTACTTAAAAAAAGAGGTTACTTCATAATAAAAAGGAAGGTAGGTCATAACCGGGTACCTGAGTTTACCTTTGCTTTGCGAAAGTGATAGACCACCAGCATGCTGATGAAGTCCAGCAGCATACACAGGGCTTGGAAGGAGATGATGGCCAGTCGTAAATACTTATCCTCCTGGACAGAGCACGGGCGGTCATCTGCACAGTAGGGGCAGCCTTCTCTGCAGGGTAGGCAGACGTGGGTTTCTTCTGGCACCCCCTTTGCACTTCCTGAAGACTCGTGATCTGGTCCCCTTCCTGAAAGTTCCAAATAAAACCACAGGGTCATGTGCACCTCTGAAGTGGGTGAGATCAAGTACAGAGTGAAAACACACCTTGCCTCCTCATTACTTTTCCCATTTACTACAGACCTTTTATTAACTTTCCTGCCAGGAGAGAGAGAGTTACTTTGCCTTTAGATCCCTTTGATTTTAAAATTCTTACTCAGAGTAATTGAGAAAAATTAGCAAAAATGGAAATGAAACTCCTGAGGGCAGAAAATGGCCTGCTGAGTTCTTTTCTATCATCACCTACCACTCACCACACATGATGATATTCCCTAACACACAAATCCCATTCCGTACATACTCATTAAAGAACTAACCAGAAGCCGGATAAGAAAGTTGATGTCTTTTATGTATTGAGTAAATATATTCATCACTTATATCATTTATGGAACTTCTTGGCCTAGATGGCACAGAGTCTAAAAGGAGGCTTTGACTGCACTTTAATTCAGCGGAGATCTCATCCACCCAGTTCATTAGGACTAAATTGGATAAAATGGTACTTGAACAACGGTTGTTTAATGTGCAATTGCCTAATGATGGTGCATGGTTTGCTTCCCAGAGTCCAATCCATGCTTACAAGCTATCATGTAATTTTCCACTCTGCATACCCATAGGACATTTCCACACTGTTCACTAATTGTTCTTATTGATCCTCTATTTAATTTTAGATTCTTCTGTCTCAGTTATCAAACAGAACTTAGCTCTGCAGCCCAATACCTAAAGATTATTTTGAGTTGCTGAGTTCACTTTAGCACCAACAAATATCCAACTAATAACAAATTAAAAAAAACCTCAAATACTTCCAACTATCAACTCAATATAACAGACAATAGTAAATATTCACCCAGTTTAGTACATAAAAGAATTTTGATTGAGGAATTCAGAAAAATGTTTTTCATTTAATAGTATTTTACTAACAGAAAGTCTCTATTTCTTTCAACTCTAGTTAAAACTTCACAATCTTTCTGAAGTATATTTATCTACTTTTCCTCAGTAAATACAATAAGAAAATATAATGAAATATGATGCCTTAAAGGAAAGCATTACTATTCAGAAAACAAGGAAATTAAAAGAAAGAAGTGAGGTACAGAAGGGCTGAGTGGAATGCTAAGATCCATGTCAGACAATTTAAAGTTGAGATCCAACTCACTGGCTAGGAGAAGTAATGCAAAATCTGAGAAATAATAATATAGTAAGCCTGCAGTGTAGGAGCCTGGTCAGTGTTAGCTAACCTACAGAGAGACCTGGGAGTGGGTGAGATAATGATGGAGAACGTGAAGGGGGAGACACTTGACAAGTAGCAGCATTTACAATGTTCCAACAGAAATCTAGAATTTGCTGGAAAATGCTGGAATGTGATCAAGTATGATGATTGAGGAAAGGCTATGGGAGTTAATGATTTTATCCTTCACTGACCATTAAAAGAGCACATTCAAATTGATGTTAGGTTCTCAGAACTTAGCGGCTAAATAAGTGATATTATTTCAGTGAATGGTCCACTGAATGAAAAAAAAACAAACAAGAAAAATTCATGGTAAACAGGAATGAAGATGTTGTAAAAAAAAAAAAAAAGAAATAAAGAAAAGAAAAAAGAATTGTCATCACCAAAAGGAGCCTCTGAAAATTGAGGACAGACAAAAGATTACAAAGAGAGGCCTTGAGAAATTAGTAGTTCATACTGAATATACTCAAGAGCATCAATGAATACATTAGTTCTAAAAGTACTTCCAATACTGAAAAAAAGTAGAATTATGCAAAGATTTTCAAAAGTTTCTTTGTTTTTGTTTTGTTTTGTTTTGTTTGGCAGAGAGGAGAAATCAAAGGAAAAACTATGTAGAAGTTAAAAAAATGTGGAAGCCAATCTTTCAGTTTTAAATTTCTCAACAAAGCAGGTAAGAATGTACATTGAGAGTGAAAAGAGCAGTTTTAAGGCTGAAAACATAAAAGATGAGACAGTAAAATAATGCAAGATGATTTATTGGATCAGTTCACAGAAAAATAATCCAGTTAGGATAAGGTAGTATGACTTATTAGGAGACCTAGTCAAGAAAGATTTTTTTTGTAATTATCAGAAGCAAAGAAGCAAATAGGAGATCCTGGAACTGCAGATCCTGGAGTCCACCCTGGCTGGTCCCAGCTCCTTTCTGCTCCTTCCTCCTCTTTCCCCAGGGGCAGAACTTTCACTCCTAAGAAGTGTGGTCCCTGAGAGCTTAAGGCAAATCTTATGGCGAGGTGGGCCTGTCCAGACAGGTGTCTAGGTTTCAGCTTACGTGGAGTTGTTGCAGCCACCTATAAACCTATTTACTGAATTTATGGAGAAGCCTGCAAATCCTGGCAGTCAGTCAGAGGAATGCTTTGCCCATCTTAAAACTGCCTCAGAGAAAGAACATTCAGCACGAAGTGCCAATGAAAAGCATCTCAGTCGGAGTGTACCCCTGTGTCTGAGCTACTCTTCAGCTTTGAACACCTCGTTCTGTGAGTTCTGGGTGTGTACAGATAGGTCAAGGTGCCTTGTGGCTGAGGGCTTGGAGACTCACCCTGAGTCAGTACACGCCCCCGCCAAGTGCGGGAGAGGCCAACCTGAAGCAGGACATCCTAAACGATGAAAAGACTGAATCGGAGGCAACACTTAAGGAAGCTGAGTTGGCAACATGTTCTATAGAATCACTTTTGCCATTATTTAAGAACACCATTGAAGAGATTAATTTTGCAAGTGCTAATGTTTCTGCATCCAATTTGAAGAAGATTTCTGAACAGAAGGATATATTAACAAAAGAATTAAATACTTTTAAACATGTAAAACTAATTTTAGAACATCTTCTTAGAAAGACAGATGACAGACAAACAGGAGACAATTTACTGAGCATGTTGTTAAAGAATCTAACTGATAATGAAAGTGAAAACATTAGTCTTAAGAAGAAGATCCTTGAAAAGGAGAACTATATTCAAGAACTTTCTTGTTTGTTTCAGAATGAAAAGGCAAATACATTGAAAGCAAACCGTTTTTTTCAATCAGTAAAAGTAGTACATGAACGACTGCAGCTCCAAATTAATAAAAAGGAAGCAGAGAATGATAAATTAAAAGAAGACATAAAGAGCTTAGAAACCAAAATAGCCAAATGGAACTTGCAGTTGAGAACAAATAAGCATGAGGCCGTAGCCATGAAAGAAGCAAGTAAGCAAAAAGCTATAGCTCTAAAAAAGGCATTTAAAATCTACAAACATAGGCTTGAACATTTTACAGGAGATGTTGAACACCTCATGTCCCAAATTAGGGATCAGGAAGCCAAGTTGTCTGAAACAGTTTTGGCTTCCAATCCCTGGAAAAGCTATTATGAGAAAATAGTAATAGAAAAAACTGAGTTGGAAGTTCAGATTGAAACAACGAAAAAGCAAACTGATAAACTTTTGGAAGATCTGAAGAAAGTGGAAGCCCATGGAGAAAATTCATGTGAAGAAATTCTTAGAGAACTTCACCCAATTGAATATGAAAATGAAACTCTGAATCTTGAGAAAACAAAACTAAAGACCACACTTACTGCTTTGAAGGACAAAGTTGTTTCTGTTGAAAAGGAACTCTTAGAACTACAAGAAGTAGAAAAATGACAGAAAGGCCTTATTGAAATGTATAAAAATCAGGTATAAAAGTTGCAAGAAGCAGCTGAAATGGTGAAAACCAGATATGAAAATTTGCTACATGAAAATAACCTAATAACAGAAAACAAAAACAAAAAATTAGAGATGGTTGATGTAAACCATAGTCTTCTGACAAAGCTTTCTCTTGAGGAGGAAAATTATCTTATTCAGTTGAAATGTGAAAAGCTTAAACAAAAATTAGAACAGATGAATGCAGAGAATAAAGAACTTGAGAAGAAGCTAGCAAACCAAGAAGAATGTCTTCAGCTCAGCAATCTGAAGCTTAAAGAGAAATCTGCAGAATATTCAGCATTGGCCAGGCAACTAGAGGCTGCTTTAGAAGGAAGAAGACAGAAGGTTTCTGAAGAAATAGAGAAAATGTCATCTAGAGAGAGGGCTTTACAAATTAAAATATTAGACCTGGAAACTGAGCTTAGAAAGAAAAATGAAGAACAAAACCAACTTGTTTGCAAAATAAACGGTAAAGCACAACATCAGGAAGTGTGTTTGAAACAAATACAACATAGTCTTGAAAAGTGGGAGAATCAAAATGAGAGTATTAAGAATTATTTACAGTTTCTTAAAACGTCCTATGTAACAATGTTTGGATAAATTGCTGAATTTATTTTCTATAAGCAGTAGGTTTTTACTAAGTCTAAAATGCGATTAGGTAAAAAAAAAAACACTACTGGTTGTTACATTTCATGATTTATGGGTAGTAGTATTAGATTTTTTATGTAAAGACATTTGAAACATAATTTATTGTGCAACTGAAACTTTAAAACATGACATTTATCAATATTCCTTTTTGCTGGATAATTCTCATTTAGCTCTTGAAAAATATATTGGCTTTTTACAATTCTTTTTCCCACACACACACAAAAAGAAACAAATAGGAGAGAACAGCTACAGAGTAAAGGGGATTGTGTCAGCGTCAGTTTTAGCTTTATTTTCATGTTATTATAAAAATAAGCATCAAGAATATAAGAAGGGCCGGGGATTTAGCTCAGTGGTTCTGCCGCCTGCCTTGCAAGTGGAAAGTCCCAAGTTCGATCCCCGGCACCAAAAAAAAAAAAAAAAAAGAAAAGAGTATAAGAAGGGAAGAGTAAAAAAGAAGAGAAAAGGCCAACATAAGGCTACATAATGGGGTGGCAGCCTTCAATCTAGAGGGGGCAGCTGGTGCTGGATCCTCCAGTGACCTCACGAAGCTGAGTCAACTTGAAGTTAGAGTGGGAATAATGTCTCTACTACCCTTACTCACTGATCAGGAACAGCCCTGCATTCTTAGATTATGCTCCCATGAATCCAGAACAGCTTCCTGTCTCTTTCGCCATGACTGCAGAGGTGCTCTACAGCTGACAATGAGAAGCATGTTCTGAAGTTCCACCATTGCTTTTATGCAAAGCCATGCAGAAACAGTCATCCAATGGCTAGAGGTAAAGGCAGGGTGAAGAGTAATTCAGTGATGAAAAGCAGCTATCCAATGCAGATGAAAACTTGAGTATGTGAGGGCACACAGATCAGGAGGCAAGAAGAACAGGAAACGAATACTGAGAAAGCAATGTGCTAAGTCTCAAGTACAAACTGGCTAACCAGCTAAAGTCACTATACTGAATAAAATAAAAGACTTGTCATGGATTCAGAATGAAGGTAAGTGGACACTCAAGAGAAGCTGGAGATCAGGAGATGATAAAGTATGAGGTCTGAGATTCAGATTTGGGAAGCTGAGGTTAGATTTTTCCTCTTTTTGCCAAAATGGAAGGACATGGATTGAATTTACATTCCAATCAGAAACCACCAAGAAAAATGGACAAAATGTGATCACAAATGGACAAGTGGACTGAAATGTGATGGTTTTTCAGATACTGGGCATCAGCAATAAAGGACAGTGACTCCTAACCTAACAAGTGCAAATACTCCTCAAACAAACCAAAGTAGCATAAATGGAACTACAAAAAAGTTACATTGATAAAATAAAAGGATCTGTGAAAGATACTTCTTGTATTGTCTTTCTTAATAGAATCTTTGCTTTCTTTATCAGCTAAACTTATTGACATATTCTCGTTGTTTTAAAAAGTTCCTGGCTACCTACTTGCATTGAGTATGTATTGCTTTTGTTATAAACAAAATAGGAATTTAAACTATACAGTGGACCCCTGAGTTATGACTGGCCTCACATACAAACAACTTGGGTTATGACCAGAATTTTAGTTTTAATTTACGACCAAAGTCTTGAGTTACAGCCGATTGTAAACAAAGGCTCATGATGCCAGAAAAGCTTATGGAAGCATACATATGCATCAGTCTGAGCCCAAATGTGCATTTGTGGATGTGATTTTGGTCAGTGCTTTATATAATCACTACAATTACTGCCATCAAAATGGTCCCCACAAAGCTAGAAAAGAAGCCAAGGAAGGAAAGGAATGGAAAGAAAGCAATCAGAATCAAAAAGAAGAAGCAAATTGTGGAGAAATATGAGAGTAGTGTTCGTGTGATGATCTCACTAATATGTATAGCATGTTGAAATCAACCATCTCAACAATCTTACAGAGAAAATATTTGTATAAGGAAACTAGTGTTGCTAAAGATGTTACTCAAATTAGTAAGCCATGATCAACAGTGTTAGACAAGGTAGAAAGGCTATTACTAGTGTGGATAAATGAAAGGCAGATGGCAGGTTGTAGCCTGAGTCTATAATTTGTGAAAAAGCTAGAGCTGGTTATAAATGCAAATCTTGTAAAGGATAATCTATCAACGAGTGATAATGGTGTAAACACTTTGTGCCAGCAAGGGGTGGTTTCACAATTTTAAAGCAAGAACTGAGGTTAATAGTGTAACTAGGCATGGTGAAGCAGCCAGTGCTCATAAAAGGGCTGCTGAAAATTACATACACCACTTCAAAATGATGACACAGAGAAATGGCTTTGCTCTCATCAAGTTTTAAACTGCGATGAAACTAGCATTTTCTGGAAGAAAGAATATACATTACCCAGGAAGAGAAGAAAATGCCAGGCCACAAGCCTATGAAGTATAGGCTAACCTCATTGCTATGTGCCAATGTGAGTGGTGACCTCAAGATAAAGCCTCTCTTGGTTTATCACTCTGAGACTGCTAGAGTGTTCAGAAAACAAAGTCATGAAGAACAGGTTGGGGTCATGTGGAGATCTAACGCAAAAGCCTGAGTAACAAGAGTACTTTCTCTTTAGTGGATCAGGGAAGCTTTCTGTCCTACTGCTACAAAATATCTAGAGGACAGAGGTTTACCACTCAAGGCTCTCCTCATCATGGACAATGTTCCTGCTCACCCACGAGATTTGGAAGATGAATTGGTGAAGAATTCCCATGGCTCTCAGTTGAGTTCCTCCCACGTAGTACAACTCCTCTACTGCAGCCTATGGAACAACAGGTTATAGCTAACTTTAAGAAGCTATACATCAAGGAACTGCTCCTGAAGTGCTTCCAGATGGTCTCAGATACAGATTTAATCCTTAAAGAGTTCTGGAAGGAATATTATAACATCCTTTCCTATGTGAGGTTAATTGAGAAATCCTGGGCCAAAGTCTCTCTAAGGACACTGAAATCTGCCTGGAAGAAACTGTGGCCTAAAATTATACAGGAGAGAGACTTTGAAGGCTATGTAGAGGAGCCCAGGCCTTCAACTGACCCTGTGATCGATGACATTGTCACTGTAGCAGAGTCCATAGGCTTGCAGACAGTGGTGATGTTGAGGAACTGGTGGAGGAACACTCAGAGGAACTGTCTACAGAAGAACTTCAGCAACTTCTGGCTTAGCAACAGAGAAAAAGGTGGCTGAGGAGCTTTCTGAAGAGGAGGGGTAGTATCAACAATCAGTGCAGCAAAGTTCTTTTCCTGAAATAAAGGAAACCCTGAAAAAATGGACAGAGCTACAAACATTTATAGAGAAGACTCACCCAGACATGGGGGAAAGTCAATTGTTGCATTTACCTGCTTAATGACAATGTCATGTCATACTACAGAACAGTGTTAAAGAAATGACAAACAAACAACCTTAGACCAGTTTTCAGTTCTGAAAAGGATGAGTCATAATGAGCCAGAAACAGGTCCTAGTGGCTACAGACTCTCCCAAGGACAGAAAGGACACCAGAGAGCCAGATTCCTGATGTTCTTATGGAAGGGGACACTCCTTTCCAAACAACAACCACCTTCCATTCATCATCCCCTTCCTGCAAGCCAAAGATGTCTACATGAATGGTGAGTACAGTATGAAATTGTTTCTGGTAAACTGGGCACATTTTATAACTTTTTGGTGAATACACTAGGAAAGTTTTTGGTGTTTCTGGTAAATTACACATATTATACAACCCTTTTTTATTATAAAAAGGTTAGTTAAGAGGTGATTTTGGAGGTTTGGAATTTGCATTATGGGTATTTCCATTATATTTTATGGGAAAAATAGTCTGGACTTATAACCAACTTGAGTTACACTAAGCCCTTGTGAACAAATTGAGTTAGCAAGTCAAGGGTCCACTGTAACTGCAGAAGTACAGTAGATCTCCCAAATGAGAGAAGCAAAGATCACTCAGCCCTTGAATCATATTGCTGTATGTTAACTGTTTAGCATATTTGAGCTGGTAGTTTTGTAGACCATACTGTTTCAGTCATATATTATCTACTTTTGACAAGTTTTGAGTTTTGTAAACTTTTCATTCATTTTAAAGCATATATTTGTGTTTGTTCAGTACCAAACTCATGGTCCATTTTCAATAAATCTAAAAGCTCTTACTTTATCCCTGATTTTTTTCCTAGTGGTACTGGGGATTGAACCTAGTGCCTTCACACTAAATTATGTCCCTGGTCCTTTTTAAATTGTTTTTATTTTGAGACAGGGTCTCACTAAGTCCCCAAATTGCCCAGGCTGGGCTTGAACTTGCAGTCTTCCTGCTTCAGCCTTCTAGAGTGCAGGGATTATGGGTATGCAACACCACTCCTGGATAAAAGCTACTTTCTTTTTCAACACTGAGGATTGAACTTAAGGCCTTTACAGTGAGAACTATATTCTCAGATGTTATTTATTTTCTATTTTGAGACAGGCACGCACTAAGTTGCCCAGGTTGCAATCTTCCTGACTCAACCTCCAGAGTGTGCCATTATTTTATTATGACCATTATTTTACTATCCCGGAATTTTTTCATATTTAGTTGTTATTCTGTTGTACAGGCTATGTTTCTGCAGGATACCCCAAGTAATATTTTTGAAGAAAGTATAAATGAAAGACCTGGCAGGATAGTAGCACAGACTATACAGCATTTGACAGAAACAAAAATTCTTATTCAAAAATATTCTTATTCAACTCAAAAACTATTTTTGAATGTCTACTTATGTGTCAGACACTGTTTTAGTAAGACAAATCAGTAAGCAAAACAAAGATCTCTGCTTTTATGGAAATTATGCTCTAGTGGGAGAAAACAGAGACAAGTGTTAGTCAACACAATAGGTGAAAAGGACGGTGTGTTAAAACTCAAAGTGCCAAGAGGGAGAACAGACCCGGGACAAAGGGAGGGGAATCCACTAGGCTGGCAGTGGGAGTTGAAAGGTTAGATACAGTGGTCAGGGTAGTCCTTATTCTCAGAGTGATACCTGAACAAAGGTTTGAAGGATGTCATGGAGTT